GCTCATAACCATCTGTCATGAGATCTGATACTCTCTTCTGGCATGTAGGCATATATGCACACAGAGTACTGATACCTAAAAAAGTACATAAATAAATAAAAAGTTTTTTAAAAAGTACATAGTAAATGGAAATGGCAAAAGCACTTCACTATTACTTGGTTACTAAAATGAGAGCTGGTAAGGGGCTGGAGAGATGGCTCAGAGGTTAAGAGCACTGGCTGCTTATCCAGAGGTCCTGAGTTCAAGTCCCAGCAACCACATAGTGGCTCACAACCATCCATAATGAGAGCTGGTGCCTTCTTCTGGCCCGCAGACATACATGCAGACAGAACACTGTATACTAAATAAATATTTAAAAAAAGTGTTGGTGAGGATGTGGAGAAATTGGAACATATATTGTTGGTAGAGTACACAAAATGGTATAATTGTTTTAGAAAATAATTCGGCAGTTTCTAAAAAAATTCAAAACACAGCGGTTGGAGAGATAACTCACCTATTAAGAGGCCTCTTCCAGAGGCCATGGAGTAAATTCCCAGCACCCACATGGTAGTTCACAACCATCTGTAACTCCAGTTCCAGGGGATCCCAAGTCCTCTTCTGATTGCCTATGCACTGCATGAACACAGTGCACAGACATACATGCAGGAAAACATGCAGAAAAACCACTCATATACATAAAAATAAATAAATATCTCTTTTTAAAGTTAAAATACTGTCTCAGTTACTTTTCAATTGCTGTGACAAAACACCTGACCAAGGCAACTTACAAAAGACAGTGTTTAATTGGGCCTCGTGGTTCTAGTCCAAGACCATCATAGCAGGGAGCACGACAGCAAGCAGGTTAGCAGGGATGGAGCAGTAGCTGAGAGCTTACATCTTGATTCACAAGTACCAGGCAGAAAAAGCTAATTGGGAATGGTATGGGCTTCTGAAACCTCAAGGCCTGCCCTCAGGGACACATCTCCTCTGAAAAGATCATACCTCCTGATCCTTCCCAAACAGTTCCACCAACTGGGGACCAAGTATTCAAACATATGAGACTATGAGGGACATTCTCATTCAAACCACTGCAAAAACAGACTTATTATATGACCCAGCAACTATACTCCTAGGTATTGGAAGCAAAACGTAGTAAGTTGTTCAAATGTTCAAAGCAACATTCATAATAGGCCAGAAGTGGGAGCAATCTAAAACTATATTATCCGGTGAATGAATGAGTAATCAGAGTATGGAATATCCATTCAGTGGGATATTATTCAGTCATTAAATAAATGAAATACCAAGACACATTATCATATGAGCTTTCAAATATTATGCCAAGAGAAGTCAACTTCAAAAGGCCACATATTGTAAGATTTAATTCATATATAAAAAGTGCTTAAAAGGTTAAAAGAGAGTAGACTAGTGGTTGCCTGGAGTTGGTGGGGTAAATAGAAAGGGACTATTAGTGGCTATAGGGCTACTAGGGGTTTCCTTTAGGGCAATGAAAACATTTTGGAATGAGAAAAATGTCATAAATAAGTAATTGGCTGCTTTAAAATGAGCGTCTACCCAACAGGTAGGTGTTCTTGGTTATCAAGGTTGGTTTGGGAGGCCCCAAGCTTACTGCAGGGATTCCTGGACCCATCATTCAGTGAAGTTTCCTCAGGGTAAGAATGATTGCTATCAGTTAGTTCCATGGCACTCTGGAGTTTAGTACTAGAGAGAAAGTGTCTTTGAAGACTTCACCCCACTCTATCTTCTGATGCAGAGAATGGCAGTGTTTTCACCAGCACTCCAAAGATAGAGACAGGAGGATCAGATATTCAAGGCCCTCCTTGGACACACAGTGAGTTTGGGGCCAGCCTAGGATACATAAGATTCTGTCTGAGCTGGGTGTTAGTGGCACATTCCTTGGGAGGCAGAGGCAGGAAGATTTCTGAGTCAGAGGCCAACCTGTTCTATAGAGTGAGTTCCAGGATAGCCAGGGCTACACAGAGAAATCTTGTATTGAAAAACACACAAATAACAACAAAAACAAAAAACCAATCAAGCAAACAAATAAGACTCTATCTCAAAAACAAAGAGAGTAAATAAAATGGCTTGTTAGGTAAGTATGCTTGCTGCTAAGCCCAACAACCTTATTTTGAGCCCCAAGATCCACATGGTAGAAGGATAAAACTAACTAGATGTCCTCTGATGTCACATGCATGTAGTGTAGGTCACAAACCTGCCATCACACATGCACATCACATACACTAATAATTAATAAAATTTAAAAAGAAAAAACAGTGATGTATTGATTCACCAACATTGGGAAAAGGGCTTATGTGGGAGAGAAAGGAGGGATTTTGTTTTAGATATAGTAAATGTGAAATACTTAGTGGACATCTTCATGGATTTGTTAAGTGGGCAATTGGAGATATCCACCTGCAGTTCAAAGGAAAGCTATAGATTGCAGACATAAAATTGGGGAAAATAAATACACATTAACATTTAGAAGAAGACATGGAACACAGGATTCATAAACATTAGCTATTATATGTCCAATCCTTCTCATCTGAACTGTGATGCCATCTCTGTTAGACACAACTTTCCTTATCTACTGAACCTCAGTTTCTGCCACAGCATTCCCTAATCTAAAGATTAGAACAGAATAACTTGGAAGCTAACAGTGTCTCATTTCTCAATTTACAAGTATAATAGTATTTTTAAAACCTACTCCTCTTTTGCTATCTAGGGAACAGTCACCTGGATTATTCTGCCATTCAGAGGATGCTAAGAAGCTAGATAAGATCACAGACAGGAAGTTCAGGAAGCTGAGAAACAAAGACCTGCAAAGGGCCAGGTCTGGTGTGGCACACCTGTAATCCTAGCACTTTGGACAGAGGCAAGGGATGAGAAGCACACATTCTAGATCCCCTACATAGCCAGACCCTGTCTCAAAAATGAAAAAAGAGGGTGTTGGGTGTTGGTATTTAGCCCCGTGGTGTACTGAAAGGCCATGGGTGCAGTGCCTAGCACTAAGTGGAGGAAAGCTTCAAAAGGAGAAGGGAATCCACCACCAGCTGGTTCTTCTGCCCTACTCCAGCCAAATGCTGAGCAGAGGCTATGGCCACCACAAAGCTACCATTAACTATAAAGATGAAAACACAACTAGTCGTCTTTCTGGAACCATAGAATCCCTTAACTTATTAGTTCTACTTATAATCTGTTCCATTATTAAGTTTTTATTCTTACCAAAACACAAAAAAAAGTCTGCCTCTTCCTCATGATAATTTATTATTATTCCTATTTTTGAAGACACGGTCTTTCTGTGTAGCCTTGGCTGTCCTGGAACTCTCTCCGTAGACTTGGCTGGCCTCAAATTCAGAGATTCTCCTGCCTCTGCTTCCCAAGTGAGTGCTGGGGTTAAAGGCATGTACCACCACTGCCTGCCTATTTTTTAATGTAGTTTTTACATTTGATGTTCTCCTAAAAACCTTAGGGTTGCTTCTTAATAATTCAACTCCTCCCAGAGCTACACAGAAAAACCATGTCTCAAAAAACAAACACAAAATAATAATAGTAATAATTCAATTCCTCAGGCTGGAGAGATGACTCAGCAGTTAGGAGGACTGGCTCTACTTCTAGAGGACCTGGTTTCTATTGCAGCCTCCACAGGCAGACACCATGTACATACAAGGTGCACAGACAAAACAATTGGCTCAGTAGTTAATTCAAGTACTTAGGAGGAAGTTGAAGCAGGAAAATGAGTTCCAGGACAGCTTGCAAGACCCATCTCAAAAGAAAAAAATTGCTTTCTCAAGAGGCCTTCTCTTAAAACTAGCAGTAGTTTCTTCCCCTTTTAGAGTTGTTTTCTGCCATTACCCCGAAGCACTCTTTGATTTATTTTTTTGAGACGGTGTGTAGGCTTTGGAGCCTGTCCTAGAACTTGATCTGTAGACCAGGCTAGCCTGGAACTCACAGAGATACAACCGCCTCTGTTTCCCAAGCACTGGAATTAAAGTGTGTGCCACTACCACCAAATGTACTTACTGATTTATGACCTAGCTCCCCTTTACCTCTAAAATAAAAATTCTGTCAGAGGAGGACTAGGTCTGTCTACACTTCTCCATATACACATATATAGAATGTGCTGGTGGTGTTTTAGTAAAAATACTTGCTGGGTAATAAATACATATTTAGAAAATTTTTGCCATGCTGTGCAGACTCCAACCTAAGGCTTCCCACTGAGCTACACTAAGAGTCCTACAGTGCTTTGGGTATGTGTGTGTCGTTCATGGGGTTGTTCAAGAGAAAAGAGGACAACTTCTGCTGTGGTTCCTCAGAGCTGTCCCCCTTATTTTTGTTGTTCATTTGTTTAACACAGGATTTCTCACTGGCCCAGAACTTGTCAAGTAGGCTAGGCTGGTGAGCACCCATGTTTTAACGTGGGGTCTGAGGATGAAATTTAGGTCTTATGCTTGCAGGATAAGCACTTCAACGACTCAAGCTGTCATCTCAGCCTTTCCTTTGTGTCATAACAAATATGAGTAAAATGGGATTGCTAGCCCATTGTATAGCCTCAGAGAAATATCTCACCCATAGGCATTGGATTTGTAGAAGAGAGCGCTGACATGGTAGAGCAGGTGGACTGTCTTTTTCCAGTGGATTCTCTCCAGTTTCACGGCTACAGGCATTTAAAACTACTTTGACATTAAGGAAATACTGACCCTGAAGACGAGTAGCATCAACCGGTATGTAGTTTCTAACCCTACGAGATGGTTCGACAACCTAAATTCAATCCCCTGAACACCCAATAGGAAGGGAGATCTCCCGTTCTCTGACCTCCACCGGCGCCCCACTCCACTCCCTGCTAACAGACAAGTGTAAGAACGTTTATTATTCTTTAAAGTAGTGTCTGGAGTTGAACTCTTCTCCCAACTCCCCCTCACAACTCCATCCTACCGCATGCAACCAGACACGGGACAGAGGTGATGATCATGTTCAATGTAAAGAAGAAAATAAAAAGCAGTCACCTGTTTGGGACGCTGAAACCCCGTGTAACTTGCTTCATACAACTAGTCACCAGCGTGGATGGAGCCCTGAAGACCCTCCGTTTGCTCTGACTCCCTTCACGCTCCTTTAACCAGGGTGTCTGTCATCTTTTCACAGCTGCCAGAGATAACCTCATTCCCTTCTTTTGCTCCGCCTTGGGATCTCCACACCTAGGGACAACCGTAGATCTCCTCGCCGCTTCCTCCCTCCCCATCGTCACCCCCCGATTCTGCAGCGGGACACGTGTGAGCCGTGTGTACAGCACTCGCTCAGC